CTGAGGTCGTGGTGGTGGTGGGCGCTGTGGTACTGAAATAACCATGGGCCTCTTGCCCCTATCAAGAGCATCAGAAGTACTATGAACCTCTCCCTTTCTAGGAGGTGGTACCCCGAAAAACTCCAAACGCTGAGGTCTACTGGGGGTTGACTCTCAACCTTAGGAGGGACTGCACTGGGTATGCTGTCCTGCAGGATAGTGACTTTAGTTAAGAATTTATAAAAGGTTCGGATGCCTTTCAGATAAGGAGCAATGGGACCATCAATGTTCTTCAACAGAATCTCAACTGCATGCTGCTCTTGCAGTTGAGGTTCACACTGAAGACTAAGGTTTCTCCACCTAACTATATAGTTAGGTAGAGACTCATGGGGGCGCTGTTTGGTCTCTACCAACTCACCAACAGTCACTCTATGCTCTGTACTAATGAACCTCTGCATAAATAGCTGCTCCATCTCAGCAAAAGTGCTAACTAAATTGCTAGGGAGATCGGCATACCACTCAAATGCCACTCCCCCTAAACTACTAATAAACAGTCTAAGCATCAAAGCATCATTTCCTCCAATGTTACAACATATGGCCCGATACTGAGCCACATGTTGTCTTGGGTTCCCAAACCCATCCAAAACTCGAAAATGTGGAGGAACAAAACCAGCGGGGTAAGGCTCCCGCTCATACTCTACCGGGTAGGGGCGACCTCTACTAACAGAATCTCCAGACTTCCTAGAAGCAATAGCCTGATCAACCCTCTGTGCAATCATGTCTTGAATCTGAACTGGTGATAACTGTACTGACTGACTATGGACTGGCACACTCAAAGATGCTGGTGGGGGAGACATCGAAACTACCCTCTAAACTCTATCAACTCTAACAGGCTCTGGGGCTGGCGACTGTGGTGTTACTGGCTCGTCTCTAGATGTACTAGGAGTAACTACATCCATAACATGGGGTGTTGCCCCCAACGCCGTCAACTGGGCGGTCATCGCCGCCATAGCTCTAGCCATCTCCGCCATCTGAGTCTGCAACTGCAACACCGTGACATCCGTATCTACTGAACGGGGAGGTCCACCTTGTGCTGAGGTGGAAGGTACATCAGCCTCCCCTTACTCCTCTAAATCATCGTACTGCTCATGCTGCTCATCTGACGTGCCTCGTCTCGTGACAACACAAACACGGTGAATGGGAATGTCTTCGTCTGACTCCTTTGTAAGCAAGTCATCATCGGAGAGGGTCTGACAAAGTGCATCTATGTACAGACCCATAGGAAAAGAAATTCTAAGGGGACTAGAAGCAGCAATTGGCTCCACTCGAGCCGGGGCACTACTATCAACATCTACTGCATCATGACTCATCTGAAATGGTACTGACACTGAAGGGACTGTGTCAACTCTACAAATCGTACCAACAGTCTGCTCTGTCTCGACAGGCTCATCCACCTACCGACGTCTCCAAACCCATCTACTACGATGGGACCCGGCAGGAACATCTAACTGAGTGGAGGGGGCAACAACAACTGACCCATGCTGGGATCGGACAGGCTCTAACTATGGGCGACATCCATGACGGCGAGGGCGTCGTCCAACAGCAGGGGCACCTGTCTGAGGTCTATCAGTGGGAACAACTCTAGTCTGCTGTCGTGGTGGCTGTCCTCTCTGCCACCGGTAACTCTGTCTAACTGACTGCCGCTGTAACTGAGCGTGCACCTGAGATATCTGGTGGATTAACCTCTCCTCGCTAACACAATCTCTACCACGCGCTAAATGGATAATGCCTCGGATCCTCCGGGTGAGGGTCCGAGCGACAGTATCCCTAGGGACTCGAGCGCGAGGAAGAGTAGTGGGGACAGGAGGGGCTACTGCAATACGGGCAGCGTCCTCCTCATCACCACTATGCACTAGAGGGGAAAAGCATCCTCCATGGACTGCGTCGATCTTAGGGGCAACTACAACATCCGAGACTGGGGTAACTACTTGTCTATGTGGCTCCCGCTGTAAGGGAACCATCCTCTGCTGAACCGCTCCTGCTGAGCCACAGAATCTGCCATCCGCTGAACTGCCGCATCGGATGCCGCTAGGTGTAATATTCTGCTCCTATTCCTCCTAGCCCTTCTCCCAAGGCCGGAGGTAGAGGAAGAAGCTACATCAGTACCCACAGGGTGTACTGGATGAACAAGAAGTACTGACTGAGGGGGTGTCGGGGTCTCCTCGGTAATCTCAGGGTGAGACAACCGGGTGAAAACAGAATCCCGATGAGTAGGAGGTGGAGGAAGCTCGGCCTGAGAAACCCTCTTCCTCGAAGTGGAAGGAGAAGGGGAGACCCGAGCACGAGCAGCCTCTACCGGAACGACAGGTAAGGGAACTGCTACTAGCTACCGGCGCTGAGGGGCCGGTGCTACGCGAACAACAGGAGCGACAGGCGCTGGCCGCCTGATCGCTGGACGAACAGGGTAAACAGGGAGTGGCCTAGGCACTGGCTGCCTAACCACCGGGCGCACTGGCTGCGCACGAACAGCAACAGGATGAGCAGGTGCCCGGGCAGGCAGCCGAGCAACTGGTCGTCCGAACTGTCGCATGGCTGTGCGTCCTCTCCATTAAGGGGGAGAGAAGGCAGCAGCCTCAGAGGGGGTCGGCCCGCCAAGAGTGACGTACGCCAAGTCAGTAAAAGAACTGAAGGTAATTCCCCCCGCAGGTGGGCTCGACAGCAGGGACTCAGGGAGTGTCACCCGCGAGTCAGAGCCAAAGTAAAAAGTAACAGAAGGGCCGGAGTACGCCATTGCACTGTCTTGCAAACATAAACAATAAGAATTAGCGTAAACAAGAGAACCACCGGAAAGAACGAGAAGGAAAGAAACAGAGTAGCCTATAAAGGCTAGAAAAGGAAGAACCTAATCTAAGGAACACTAAACCCGGAGTGCACACAAAAAGGAGATAATTTAACACCCAAGATGGAGAGAGAAACCATGTCCCACTGTGGTCGCCAGAAATCTGTGGGTCTCCGAAAGGATTCTGCTCAGGTGGTTCGAATGCAAAGAGTACGATCATACCATCTAGTAGGACAAAATTTTCGTAGACCTTTACAATCGACACAAGCAGGCCAATG